CCCATTTTACAACCTTTCTTGCCACAGTGGTTAAGTGAATCGGTGCAGGTGTTAAGTTAGTAACACGGTTGTTAAGTGAATCCAACTTCCCCCATTGACTTTGCTTGTCGGAAGGTTGCAAAAGGGGATCACGTGACCCCTCTGGGACGCTGCGACCGTCATAAATGCGAGCCAGTTGCCAAGTGTCCGAATTTTGATCATGTGACCCTGGGGATGACCATGGGGACTGCAGTCGCCAGTGTGAAAAACGGTCATACGTCACATTTTTCACTGCCGTTGTAACTTCAAATGGGCACTAAATGAAACATTATAAGTGGAGAACTACCTGTGGTCCTCAACTTATAACTGTAACTGAGGCTGGAATTACAGTTGCTAGGCATACTGTTAAGTGGATCAACCCCCTGACCGTGTCCCATTTTATGACCTTGTTTGTGGCGATCGTTAAGTGAATTCATTGTCCGCACTGGGCTTTTTTTTTTCCGCCAAAAATGGAAAGTAAGCACAGGTTTCTGCCCAAAAAATTGTAAATCATTGATCATGTGACTGTGGGACACTGCAAATGGCGATAAATGTAGGCCGGGGGCTGAGGGCCCAAAATGCGATCCTGAGACCGGAGGTGGGGGGGGAGCGGTGGCCATCGGAACGAATCCTGAGGGGGTCTGTTGTAACTTTGAACAGTCAATAAGCTGTCAGTCATACGTTAAGGACAGGGGACTTCAAACTTGGCCCTTTGATGACTTGTGGACTTCAACTCCCAGAATTCCTCAGTCGGCCATTTTGATGAAACTGCGGGCTTGGATCCAGACCAGCGGTCTTCAACCTTGGTCCTTTTATGACTGGTGGACTTCAACTCCCAGAATTCCTCAGCCAGGCATGCTGACTGAGGAGTTCTGGGAGTCCACAAGTCATAAAAGGGCCAAGTTTGAAGACCCCTGGGTTGGCTTCATCTAGGCCAGGGCTCTTCAAACCTGGCCCTTTTATGACTTGTGAACTTCAACTCCCAGAATTCCCCAGTCAGGCACGCTGGCTGAGGAATTCTGGGAGTTGAAGTCCACCAGTCATAAAAGGGCCAAGTTTGAAGTCCCCTGGGTTGGTTTCATCTAGGCCAGAGGGTCTTCAAACTCGGCCCTTTTATGACTAGTGGACTTCAACTCCCAGAATTCCTCAGCCAGGCACGCTGGCTGAGGAATTCTGGGAGTTGAAGTCCACCAGTCATAAAAGGGCCGAGTCTGAAGACCCCTGGTCAAGGACTACCTGTGTGTGTGTGTTTTTGTACAGCGCCACTAATGGGCCTGGTGCTGGGTACAGATTGCAGGCAGATCTTTCCCTCAAGAAACTTGACCTGTGTAAAGTTTAACAACTGAGAAACGAGGTACGAAGCCGGAAAAAGAAGGAAGAGAAAGATGAAGGACAAAATGGCTCCACCGGAAGGCCTCTTCAAATCTAGAAGGCCCACAACAATGACAGAAGCGTTTTAAAATCCTTAGTGACCTTGCCTTTAAAAACCAAGCCAAGCATCTCCCCTTCCCCTCAAAAACTCCCCCCTCCCCAAATCTGCCTCCAGTTCCCTTTTCACAGGAGACAAATGATTCTGCCAAGTGGAAGGGAGGGAATTTTAGCACATTTTTTAATCTCTTCCAGCATCCCGGTTCCCACAGTGGCCAGCCAGATGCTTCCATTTTTGAACGCCGTGGTTTGGCAAATGGGTCAGCTTTTGACACACAACCACGGGCCAGCTTTGTGCGCCGTGCAATTAAGGGCTTCACGGTGATGCACTCTCCGAGGAAGGCGCGCCGTTTATCGTGTCTAATTCTAGCCGTCTGTAAAAGATGTTCTCGGCCGTGAACATTTGGCATATATTAAATAAAAAAATCTGATCTCTGGGTTGGAGAGGATTATCGATAACTTCCGGAAATAAAAGTGGTCAGAATTGACCTTTGCGTTGAGAGGAGGAACGTAAAATAACGTTCAAAATGAAAAGAAAAGCGGTGGGACTTATAATGGTTTATTTATCCTAGGTTGGTCTGATGTATTTGCTGAAAATTCAGTTTCAAAATTCTTTTTTATTCAGGAAAATAGGCTATATTGTTTTTGTTTTTTTTAAAAAAGCCATGCAGTTTCTAACTCCTGTATTTTTGCAGAATCTGTCAGATTCTGATAGGAACTTCTAGACTGGACTGAACTGAGACACTAGAGCAGGATTAGGCAACCTTGGCTCTTTTATGACTGGTGGACTTCAATTCCCAGAATTCCTGAGCCAGCATAGCTGGCTCAGGAATTCTGGGAGTTGAAGTCCACGAGTCATAAAAGAGTCAAGGTTGCCTACCCCTGCACTAGACCAAGAATAACAATTTTTTAGCTCTCTTTAGGCAGGATTTACGTTTTGAAATGAGATTAAGAGATTACTGGCAACTTTCCTGCTGGCTGGGAAATTCTGAGAGTTGGAAGTCCACACCTCTTAACGTTTCCAACTTTGAAAAAAAACAAAACACTGATCTAAATGGACATGTATTTTGAATAGAAATCCATTTGAAAAAATCCACTGTCGCGCTTGCAAATTCAGCGCTCGCTTCTCTGTCGTCTGTATAGTTAACAAACTGCTCGAGGCTACTATGCCTGTGGCGTGCCATTCTAGAATGACATATTTATTCCGGGACGTTGGATTCAGTTTTTCATCTCTCCAGCAAGAGCTCCTTTTTTACCCATTTCCATGGCAATTTCCTCCTCCACCTGGTTTACGTGAAAAGTTATCACAACCACATTTCACTTGGTATGCACTTTTCCTGACGTGTACTTTTCGCAAATTTCTTGGAATACGACTTTAGAGAGCGGTACAAACTGCTATCCTAAAACATACGAAGAATGGCTGCAGGAATTGGGTGTGTCTAGTCTAATAAAAAGAAGGACCAGGGGTGACATGATAGCAGCCTTCCAGTATCTCAGGGGCTGCCCCAAAGAAGAGGGAGTCAAGCTGTTCTCCAAAGCGCCTGAAGGCAGGACAAGAAGCAACGGATGGAAACTCATCAAGGAGAGAAGCAACCTGGAACTAAGGAGAAAATTCCTGACAGTGAGAACAGTCAACCAATGGAGCAGCTTTGCCTTCAGAAGTTGTGGGTGCTCCATCACTGGAAGGTTTTAAGAAGAGACTTGACAGCCAGTTGTCAGAAATAGCATAGATCTCCTGCACGACCAGGGGGTTGGACTCAATGACCTTCAGGATCCCTTCCAACTCTGTTACTGTTACTGCTTTTCATAAAACATGGCTTGCTTTTCTGCACATAAGGAAAAAACATGTAATTGATAGGCTGACCAATATGTTTGATATACCATGAAGTTACTAAAAAGAAACCCCTGTGGAAGAACAGTGTGCGTTGACTTCTGATAGGATATGTATGATGCCCTGGCTCTACAATCTACACCAGGGGTAGTCAACCTTGGCTCTTTTATGACTCGTGGACTTCAACTCCCAGAATTCCTGAGCCAGCAAAGCTGGCTCAGGAATTCTGGGAGTTGAAGTCCACGAGTCATAAAAGAGCCAAGGTTGACTACCCCTGATCTACACTGTAATCATTCTGGGAGTTGAAGTTGTCTTATGTTCATTTCTGGCCTTATAACTGACAGACCTCTTTCTTCATTTCCAAATTTGCACTTTGGAATTGAGAGTCTTAATTTAAGGAGGCAGCGGTAAGCTTATAGCTGTGCCACGTAATGAAGAGTCTCATAATGCCACGGATTCGAGCAATATCCAGTATTTAATTTGGGGGCTGGTGTCTTCTGTTTGGTCAGTTTGGGAACTGAGTCTCTCTCCCCCACCCGCTAAAAAAAAATAAAAGCTTAAAAGTTACAGGTACGGTATTCTCACATAATACAATGACTTGCTTTTTGCTTGTGGATATAGATATATTTAATATGCAGTCCTGTATGCTCCTAATGTTTGGGTGAATTCCATGTTGGCTTGTGGTTATTACTGATCATACTAACCCATATCAGGGAGGATGTATGTCTGGTCTCAATTTGTATAGAACAGGTTTTCTTTGACTTTAGCTTCATTCTTGATGACCACTTGGACTCATCCACGTAATTTGGGCAATAATGCCAAAGAGGTTTGCTTCTGGCTTCTTTCAGGAAGTTTTGTTTTTTAAAATTTACCAGTTCTTTATTTTTACAAAATTACATTTTGTAGCAACTGTGAGAGGCACCTCGGAGTCCTAGTGGACATTCACTTAAACAGGAGCCAGCCGTGTGCTGCAGCTGCCAAAAAGGCCAACACAGTGCTGGGCTACATTAACAGAGGGAGAGAATTGAGATCACGTGAAGTGTTAATACCACTTTACAAGGCCTTGGTAAGGCCACACTTGGAATACAGAATCCAGTTTTGCTCACCACGATGTAAAAAAGATGTTGAGACTCTAGAAAGAGTACAGAGAAGAGCAACAAAGATGATTAGGGGACTGGAGGCTAAAACACATAAGGAACGGCTGCTGGAATTGGGGATGTCTAGTTTAACAAAGAGAAGGACGAGGGGGGACATGATAGCAGCCTTCCAGTATCTCAGGGGCTGCCCCAAAGAAGAGGGAGTCAAGCTATTCTCCAAGGCGCCCGAAGGCAGGACAAGAAACAACGGACGGAAACTAATTAAGGAGAGAAGCAACCTGGAACTAAGGAGAAACTTCCTGACAGTTAGAACAATTAACCAGTGGAACTACCTGCCTCCAGAAGCTGTGGATGCTCCAACACTGGAGGTTTTTAAGAAGAGACTGGACAGCCATTTGTCCGAAATGGTACAGGGTTTCCTGCCTGAGCAGGGGGTTGGACTAGATGGCTTCCAAGGTCCCTTCCAACTTTATTATTATTATTATTATTATTATTATTATTATTATTATTATTATTATTATTATTATTATTATTATTATTATTATTAAAGCTCAAATGTCATTCGGTTATTAAACTAAATTGATTTGAGGAGTGTAAAACAGATATTTCTCTTTCTCTTCCTTTAGCTGGCTTGTGGACAGTCTTTACACTCGGAGGTGTAGGAAGCAAGCGAGCCTCTCAACAGGAAGAATCATCACCTCTCGCTAATCAAAGTCTGTTGTTGCTGCTCATCTTAGTAAACCTGACCGATGCTGCAGATACACCCAACCCTTATAAACAATCGGTTGTGTCCTTCAGGAACACACAAGGTATGTATCCTTTTAAAAGTGCCAATTTCCTGGAACTTTTTTGGGGAAATACACCAGTATCCCGACTTTCATCAGTTGAACTAAAATTAATGATGATTTGGCTAAAGAAAAGCATCACAAAAAGTAAAAGTATATAGGGCTGTTTTGACTCCTTCGCCGAACCACACTTTTAGGTTGGTTGTATGTAAAAAATTGTGGTCTGTCTCCTCTGGAGGAGTTGCACTGCCTCTTATACATGGGCAAGATCTCACTTAATAACTGTCTCGCTTAGCAACAGAAATGTTGAGCTCAATTTTGGTCATAAGTTGATTACTACCCGTATTCTCCTTTATTGGTACACACAGCGTACTTTAAGATTACTTTTTCAAGAAAAGAAGGTTACTATTTTTTAAATTCAGTTTCATTGTGGGGATAATTGTAGCAGAAGACACATATTAGGAATTTATACAGAGAAGTGTGTTTACACGTAAAATTTAAAGATAATGCACTTTGCATGCTACAAACATTTTAGAGTCAATTCACTATCTATGTGAAAATGACTTTTCTTGGGGAAATGGTCAAAACCCATTTAAGTTTCATAGTCTTCAAACTTAAACCTTGCTTGTAAGATAAACGACGAGTGAACGGACTCTAGGAAGAATTGGTGGTTTGGAGAAGACTTCTTTCTCTGTTCATTTTCTCTATAAATTCCTTTCCCCTTTTAATTTTTTTTTTCTCTATCTGAATATCAAAATAGGAATTCAGCTCTGGTGCTAGGAAATGGCTGAACAGGAGGCAATTTTCAGGGGAGATTTGTTTGTTGTAAGGAACTCTCCCCCCCCCAATCTTTATTTCTCCTCTCATTGCCCTCTCTATCTGTAATTTCGCAAATAAGGGAGTTTTGAAGAATATATCCTTGTGGAGAGATAACATGCAGTTCGTCCTTGGCCTGAGTCAGACCACTGCCTTCTTCTCTAGGTTGAGCCAGCTGCCTTCTTCTCTAGGTTGAGCCAGCGGTTCCAGCTAACCAGCATTATCAGTTCTACTGCTTGATAGCCTGATTAGCCTTTAATCAGACATAACAGAAACAGGGCAGTCCTGCTTCTTGTAAAACTTCACTGGGAGATCGACAGTTCTTGATCGTTTGGAAGGTTATAGGATGATTCAATGAAAACAGATTAGATTCTTGTGTTTTAAATCAGTCTTCCATCTGATTTGTAGTCATATCAGTCCCTCCAAGGAATGCAGAGCCAATAAATAAGAAATAAACTGATGATGATGGACAGAGTCTCTGAAAAGGGCAAGGCCAAAGCCTGTTGGCCTGCAGACTGAAGGCTACTGAGTCACACACCACAAGGCTAACTTCATTTTTATTGGGACCAGAGGGGAAGAAACCTCGAAAAAAAGAGTCAAAGGGATTGCATTTCACTGTACACGATGTTTGATGTTGGGTTTGTTTTCTTCCAGATAGCACGGCTTTGTCTTCGCCAAATCCTCACGCTTTCCAGATCAATTTTAATAGTTTGTACACCACGTTGTGTGAGCAGCAAAACTCTGACAACGCCACCCTGCTCTTGTACAGCCTTTTGCACCAGAACAGCAATGTTCGAACATATATGTTGGCCCGGACAGATATGGAAAACCTGGTAAATATTTTGTCCTGCGCACAACTCATCAAGTCCAAAAATGTAACAGGAAGTCTTCCGTGTGAAACGCCGGCTTTTGAATTGCTGAGAGAACGGGACGCTAGACAGATGCTGCTGCCCTGAACTTGTGAATGAAGTGATTATAGGCAGCAGCTGATGGGTTTTAGAGTAGGTGGGGATTTGTGGGTGCTGGGTGTGTTCAGTTATGACAGGGGTGGGGGGGAATCAAGATTCTGGTCCCTTCTCAGCCATTGAATCTCATTTGGGATCTTTAGGCCCCCCACCTCACAGGTTAGGATTAAGTTATATGGTTAAAGGAATGAAGATTGCAGTGGAAGCCACCTGGAGCTCTTGAAAGAAATAGGGCAGGGGTCTTCAAACTTGGCCCTTTGATGACTGGTGGACTTCAACTCCCAGAATGCCTCAGCCAGGCACGCGTGCCTGGCTGAGGAATTCTGGGAGTTGAAGTCCACCAGTCATCAAAGGGCCAAGTTTGAAGGCCCCTGGTCTGGATCCAAGCCTGCAGTTTCATCAAAATGGCCGACTGAGGAATTCTGGGAGTTGAAGTCCACCAGTCATCAAAGGGCCACGTTTGAAGGCCCCTGGTCTGGATCCAAGCCTGCAGTTTCATCAAAATGGCCGACTGAGGAATTCTGGGAGTTGGTCCACAAGTCAGAAAAGGGCCAAGTTTGAAGACCCCTGGTCTGGATCCAAGCCCGCAGTGTCATCAAAATGGCCGACTGAGGAATTCTGGGAGTTGAAGTCCACCAGTCAGAAAAGGGCCAAGTTTGAAGACCCCTGAAATAGGGAATACAAATCTAGCTAATAACTCTCATGACTTACTCTTTCTATACCTGTAACCAGCATCGATTCTCACCAGGCTCATGGTTGACTCGTCCTTCCGAAGTCGGTAAAATGAGGACCCAGATGGTTGGGGGCCACATAGGCTGACTCTGTAAACCGCTTAGAGAGGGCTGTAAAGCACTGCAAAGCGGCATATAAATCTCAGTGCTGTTGCTATTGCCATAAGCTATTGTTCACCCAAGCCTGGTTCACGTAGCCCTTGACTTACAACTGTAATTGAGCCTGGAATTACATTCATAAGATAGGGGGGGGGATCATTAAGCAGGTCACCACACAAGCGTGACCTTGTGATCCTTTTTGTGGTCATCAAGCAAATGGCAGGGATGTTAAACAAATTCTCTGTCCGCAATTAATGTTTTTTGTCAGAAGTAAACACCGGTTTCCAGAAAAAAATACCTCATAAATTGTGGTTGTGTGGCTGGAACGCTGCAAACAGCCACAAATGCAGGCTGGTTGCTGAACACCCAGGATGTGATTGTGCGACCGTGGGGAGGGGGGAGGCAAATGTCAATCTTTGAAATTGGGTTATAAGTCTCATTTTTGGGATCTGGCCTAATTTCAAAAGGGCGCTAAGCAACCAATCATAAGCCAAGGACGGCCTTTATTTGCTAAATGACTTTAAACGGAAAAATCAAACTTAGACAGTTTTGTCTAGTGGTTAAGGCAGGGGTCCTCAACCTTGGCCACTTTAAGACTTGTGGACTTCAACTCCCAGAATTCCTCAGCCAGCTTTGGATTCAAATCCATCCCCACCCACCTTTATTTTTTTTTTAAAAAAATCCCCCTTTCTATGAAGCATCCTTGACAAAACTTTGGGCTATTTCTTGGCTTCTGAATCCTATTTTATATTTGGCCAGTTTGGCTTTTTCTGACTTACTTTTTAAAAAAAAATAATTGCAAATGTTTGTTTAGCGACTAAAATTGGGACCGGCAACTCAACCGTTAAGCCAATTGGGTGGTTGGGTTTATTTTTTATTGATTGATGTGTATCCTGCCTTTGTTATTTTTGTAAACAACCCCAATATACATAATTCCCCTTCCTCCTCCTGTTTTCCCCACAACAGCCTTGTGAGGTGGGTTGAGCTGAGAGGAAGGGACTGTCCCAAAGGCACGCAGCTGGTTTTTGTGCCTAAGGCAAGACTAGAACTCAGAGCCTCTTGGTTTCTAGCCTGGTGCCTTAACCCAGGGGTCCTCAAGCTTGGCCACTTTAAGACTTGTGGACTTCAACTCCCAGAATTCCTCAGCCAGCCCTCAGGGCTGGCTGAGGAATTCTGGGAGTTGAAGTCCACAAGTCTTAAAGTGGCCAAGCTTGAGGACCCCTGCCTTAACCACTAGACAAAACTGTCTAGGTTTTTGGCTAAAATCAGGAGAATATTAAAGCCTGGATTTTTGGTTACAAGCATCCTAATATTAATTTGCCCTTATCTCTATTTTTTTCCTTCCTGAGGTTTTGCCAATTCTTGAGATTCTTTATCATGTTGAAGAAAGGAATTCACATCACGTTTATATGGCACTGATAATTTTGTTAATCCTTACCGAAGATGACGGCTTCAATCAATCCATTCACGAAATTGTAAGTTAGGTATATTCAGATGGCACAGATGATTAATTGAACACAAAATAATGAGCAAAGGTTTATCTTAATGAAGATGAATGTAAATTTTTATGCATGAGTTGGATGTCTATTTTCTCAGTACAGCTTTTTTTTTTTTAATGAATTCTCATTTACTTTTCTTCTTGTAGCTTTTATTCCAAATACTTTTCGGAAGTACTCGTTGCTTTTAAGATAGATAGATAGATGACAGATAGATAGATAGATAGATAGATAGATAGATAGATAGATAGATAGATAGATAGATAGATAGATAGATAGATAGATAGATAGATAGATAGATAGATAGATAGATATGGATGGGCAGGCGGACGGACGGACAGACAGACAGACAGACAGATATAGATATATAGATATAGATAGATAGATAGATAGATAGATAGATAGATAGATAGATAGATAGATAGATAGATAGATAGACATATATTATAGATAGATAGATAGATAGATATAAAGATAGATATAGATCAGTGGTGGCGAACCTATGGCACGGGTGCCAGAGGCGGCACTCAGAGCCCTCTCTGTGGGCACGCGCGCCGTTGCCCCAGTCCTAGGTCTTCAGCTGGGTTTTATAAAACCTTTTCGCTTTAGGCCTCCGCCGCCATGTGCAAAAAAAAAAAGGTTCAATCAGTCAATTTCAACTTCTCGCGGGGGGGAAAAAGATCTTGCAAAGTTGGAATTGATTGATTGAACTTTTTAGTCCCACCCAGTCTGCCGTTACCACTGCAGCCACGCCCAGCCAATTGGCCACGCCCACTCAATGGGCCACACCCACCCGGCACTCGACGATGCATAAGTGGGTTTTGGGTTGCAGTTTGGGCACTCGGTCTCTCAAAGGTTCGCCATCACTGATATAGATAGATATATTATAGATATATTATAGATAGATAGATATACAGATATAGATATAGATAGATATATAGATATATTATAGATAGATAGATAGATAGATAGATAGATAGATAGATAGATAGATAGATAGATAGATAGATAGATAGATAGATAGATAGATAGATAGATATATTATAGATATAGGTATATAGATATAGATAGATATACAGATATAGATATAGAAAGAAAAAGAAAGAAAGAAAGAAAGAAAGAAAGAAAAAGAAAGAAAGAAAGAAAGAAAGAAAGAAAGAAAGAAAGAAAGAAAGAAAGAAAGAAAGAAAGAGAAAGAAAGAAAGAAAGAAAGAAAGAAAAAGAAATACAGTGGTGGAATTCAGCCGGTTTGCACCAGTTCGGCAGAACCGGTAGCCAATTTTTTGTTGCCCAGGCCCAGAATGGACTTCCAGAAGTGGCATCCACACAGAGAACCGGCTGTTCACCTATTTGAATCCCACCACTAGATAGATAGATAGATGGATAGAGGGATAGGGATAGGGATGTATATATTAATATATACATATTGAAAGCAAAGAATTTTTGCAAGCTTTTTGCCCTACTCTTCATGGGGACTGCAGTTGCAAATGCAACGATACAAAGTGGATTGTTCACTGTAAAATCAGTCATGACCAGCTTACGTTTTTTTGATTCCAAAGGCCACTTTGCCTGGCTTACTGAATGCAAGACTGGCATGTTATATTTGGATTGTTGAAAACCTCGTTGAGGTGGAATTAGTGAGCAATAACCCTCTCTCTAGGCATCATATTGTATTTTATTTTGAAATAAAACCGAAAATGTAGAGAGCTAAGAATACCATCCAAATAATAAGATAAGAAGATTGCTAAGGAAAAAAAACCAGAAATTAATAGCACTTTAAATCCAGAGCAAATTTAAAAAAAAAATCTTGCTGATTATAAAATCTTTGGATTTATGGAACTAATGTCATAGTCTTTATATATTCCAGCCATGTATTGTGCTTTTATTGTATAATAATAATAATAATAATAATAATAATAATAATAATAATAATAATAATAATAAGAAGAAGAAGAAGAAGAAGAAGAAGAAGTAGTAGTAGTAATAGTAGTAGTAGTAGTAGTAGTAGTAGTAGTAGTAGTAGTAGTAGTAGTAGTTGGATGGGACCTGGGAGGTCATCTAGTCCAATCCCCTGCTCAGGCAGAAAACTCTATACCATTCCAGACAAATGGCTGTCCAATCTCTTCTCAAAAACTTCCAGTGTTGGAGCATTCACAACTTCTGGAGGCAGGTAGTTCCACTGGTTAATTGTTCTAACTGTCAGGAAGTTTCTCCTTAGTTCTAGGTTGCTAGCTTGTTTAACCAGACAACCTGCCACCTGTTGGGTCCTTGTTTCAGAACCATTTCCTTACTTAAGCAGAGAAACAGAACGACCACAGGCGGGGGCGGGAAGGCCGTGTGAGTGACCGTTGACTTCCTGGCGGCTTTTCCCGTAGATTTTCCTTGTAGGAAGCTGGCAGGGAGCGCTGGGTGCGAGGATCACATGGCCACAATGGTGGGGCAGCGCTGAAGGAGCCACTACTTTGCCACGTTTCCATCCGCTGGGAATCATGGCGCCTGGAGTTTGGATGCCGTCTGTAAATTGGCCAGTTCATTGGTTCCAAAACGATCGCCCGGCGATGCAGCCTTTCCCCAAGTTGAAGGCCACAAATAATGAGACAGACCTGAGAATTTATAGATTTATAGACAGATAGATTCTCCGCTGCCTTTTGCTCAGGTGCTTTTCCTAGTGGGAATGAACGGAAAACGATCGGAAGTATCAACATTGTGCCTGTTTTAAAGGAAGAATAAAAGATATGCAGATGAATAGGATTGTTTTGGGAGGAAACTCGTATCTGTCTCTAAGCGCCTTCTTTCCAATTCCTTTTTTGGAATGACCAGGAACGAGTGAGGCCTCCCCAGAAGCGGCTTTGTTTATTTTAAGCAGCTTTGGACGGAATCGGCTTTTGTCCTGTGGTCAAAAAGAGGGAAAATAAAAACAATCCCTTTGTCATGGTTCCGAAAGAAGAAGCTCTTCAAAGAACTCTGAGGCATTGTTTACCTTAAAGAATCTTTAATTGCAATAATTCTACAAGGCCTTGGGAAGGCCACACTTGGAATCCTGCATCCAGTTTTGGTCACCACGATGGAAAAAAAGATGCTGAGACTCTAGAAAGAGTGCAGAGAAGAGCAACAAAGAGGATCAGGGGACTGGAGGCTAAAACATACAAGGAACGGTTGCTGGAATTGGGGATGTCTAGTTTAACGAAGAGAAGGACGAGGGGGGACAGGATAGCAGCCTTCCAGTATCTCAGGGGCTGCCCCAAAGAAGAGGGAGTCAAGCCATTCTCCAAAGCCCCTGAAGGCAGGACAAGAAGCAACAGATGGAAACTCATCAAGGAGAGAAGCAACCTGGAACTAAGGAGAAACTTCCTGACAGTCAGAACAATTAACCAGTGGAACCACCTGCCTCCAGAAGCGGTGAATGCTCCAACACTGGAAGTTTTTAAGAGGAGGCTGGACAGTCATTTGTCCGAAATGGTATAGGGTTTCCTGCCTGAACAGGAGTTGGACTTGATGACCTCCAAGGTCCCTTCCAACATTATTATTATTATTATTATTATTATTATTATTATTATTATTATTATTATTATTATTATTATTATTATTATTATTATTATTATTATTACTAGCTGTACCCGGCCACGCGTTGCTGTGGCTCAGTCTGGTTAAATGGAAAAGAAGTGTGTTGCTTTTACGTCCAACAGATGGCGCTGTTTTTCAAATAAAGCATGTTTTTGCCTGTCACAGGTGTGACATCTATATAATAGTAGGTATATAAAAACACGCGCGTATTCGAATGGAACGCTGTGTCAAAATTTCAAAGCAATCGGTGAAGAACTTTCAGAGATTTAAAATTTTGAACAAACGAACATTTACATTTTTATTTATATAGATGATGATGATGATTATTATTATTATTATTATTTACTTTTCTACCTTAGGAAATAGAATCTGAATTGAGGGCATGGCGTTGACTTGTCAAGGTTAATAACACACCCTGTTCCTCTCTATCTTTGCAGATACTGAAAAATATCACTTGGTATTCAGAGCGTGTGCTGACCGAGATTTCGCTGGGGAGCCTTCTGATTCTCGTCGTAATAAGGACCATTCAGTACAACATGACAAGGACGAGGGTAGGTTTTGCAGCTTGGATTTATTTCAAGTAGAGCAGATGTTTCATTTTCTGCAGGGGCAACCAAAGTTTCTAACAAAAGCTAGTCCTGTATAAAGAGCCCGTCCTTGGCCCGTGGCATTTTCTCTTTTTGAAGAGCTGAGAAGGACGAGATCTGAAATGAGACCCCAGTGTTGTATTACTCTAGACTAGAGCAGGGGTGGGGAACGACGGCCCCTTTATGACCTGTGGACTTCAACTCCCAGAGTTCCTGAACATGGCTGGCTCAGGCATTCTGGGAGTTGAAGTCCACAGGTCATAAAGGGGCCATAGTTCCCCCATGCTGGCTCAGGAATTCTGGGAGTTGAAGTCCACAAGCCATGAGGGGGCCATAGTTCCTCCATGCTGGCTCAGGAATTCTGGGAGTTGAAGTCCACAAGCCATGAGGGGGCCATAGTTCCTCCATGCTGGCTCAGGAATTCTGGGAGTTGAAGTCCACCGTCATAAAGGGGGCCATAGTTCCCCCATGCTGGCTCAGGCATTCTGGGAGTTGAAGTCCACAGGTCATAAAGGGGGCCATAGTTCCCCACCCCTGCTCTAGAGAGATGAAATACATGCAAGGGAGGAAGAAAATATGGGACATGTCAGTTGTAACCCAAACACCAAAATTGATCAAGAAATAAAAAATGCTTCAACTCTAACAACTCACGTTTTTTTTCTCTCCCATCGAATACATGAACTTATCTTATGCAATTAGGCAACTAGTCTGCAAAATGCAGGGTGGGTGGTAACGGTGAGCTACGAGCGGTAAACCTGATGGTATTGGGGTGGGAACTTTGTGGAATAGCATTCCGCACGGAGTTTTACGTCTCAATAAGCGTGGCTCCTATAGTGCTAGTTTAAGCGACGCCTCTTTCATGTGGGATATTGTGTACCAGTTTGTAAGTAATATGGGAAATGTATTGTTACAAGCCTACATTTTTATGGGGGGGGGGGGAGGAATAAGCTGCATTTAGCCAAATAAAGTAAACATTAAAGCTTGAAATATAAGCCACTTTACCTTGAAATTTTGATCAGCATTAATGAACTCGGCAACTCCAGCATAAAAGATGTAAAGCTATTGAGCTAGGATGACTTAAGCCAGGGGTCTTCCAACTTGGCCACTTTAAGACTTGTGGACTTCAACTCCCAGAGGGCTGGCTGAGGAATTCTGGGAGTTGAAGTCCACAAGTCTTAAAGTGGCCAAGTTGGAAGACCCCTGGCTTCAGCTATCAAGGCTTGGCTTGTTTTTATTGCCCTTCTGTCTCCAGTAAACAAAAAAAAAGACTAGGGAATTATTTCCTTTTGACAGGCCCTGCAGTGTCCAGGAAGGATAATCTGATGTTTGTGTGTTTGTGTGTGTGTGTGTTTTTCCCGTCTCATCTCAAACAGGACAAGTACCTCCATACAAACTGCTTGGCAGCCCTCGCCAACATGTCCGCCCAGTTCCGCTCCCTTCACCAGTACGCCGCGCAGAGGATCATCAGGTAAATGCGAGTCTTGTACGGAATAATTCCACGACGTTTTGTTTCCAGTTCTGTTTTCTGTTTTCAGAGACGCGAACCTCCAGCCCCTAAATTTAAAATATTGACCCTAAACTTCTGTTCAGCTTCACCGAGTCTAGAGTAAATGTTTATGGATGGCAAACATTAATATTGCTTGCCCTGAGAAAAAGCAAGAAAAGGCCCTGCTTAATCAGTGTTGAATAAATGAATATATTATTGAGTTAAGGGCGATTGTGGCAGAGGCCTGTGAAACGAGGAGCAGTTATTTGTGATTGACGTGAACTTTTTATGGGGACCGATGACGCTGCTTGATGTCCCTTCTCAATATTTAAAAATTCAATTTGTGTTTGAGGAATTTTCTTCCTGTGATTTGCCGGCCAAGGAAATTTCTCCCTGTAAATCTGCTTCAGGAAGACAAGGCAGTGTCCACAATTATTCTGTGCAGTTCCTCACTAGACTTGCGTGGTGCAACTGTTGTGTGTCAATACGGGGGTGTGCGTGTGGCTCAGGATAGAGACTTTAATACAACTTGCCTGAACTGTTCATCTTCTTCACATGGAACTCCAAACATTCAGAGTCCCTTAGTCCACTGTTTATCACTGCTTCCTTGCTGTAGGAAATCTAACTTACACAATTAAAATGAAGCTAGATAATATATCTTATCCCAGTGATGGCGAACCTTTTAGAGACCGAGTGCCCCAAAACCCGCCTCCGCTCCGCTTGCTCTGCCCCAACCTGCCCCCTGCCCTGCCTGCCCGCAGGGCCATGCACCGCCTCCATGGCCCGCCACAGCATATTGCCCAGGCAGCCCTGCAGCGCCATGGCAGCCACGCCCTCCGCCCACACCCTGCAGCATCATCTGCACGCTATGGGGCGCAAGGGCGGAGTCTTGTCCCTGCTGCCCAGCTATGTCCTTGGCTGCACTGCTCTGTGCAGGCCGCGTCTGGGGGTGACTCTCCTCCAGGGGGGCTGCTGGTGAGGGGAGGTGGGGCTGGGGCGATGGCGTGCGTGCCCACAGAGAGGGCTCCGAGTGCCGCCTCTGGCATGCGCGCCATAGGTTCGCCACCACTGTCTTATCCTATCCACCATGCCCCCCCAGTGAAGTTTGACCCCACCCCTGTCCTTCCACAAGGGCTTGAAGACCCGGCTCTGCCCGTTGGCCCGGGGACTTTCCAGCGCAGGAAATCGGGAGTCCAGGCAGTTCAGATGAATATATAGGTTTATTATACGCGAAAGTTCTCTAAAAGAATCTGAGCTACTAACGGTCAAAGCGACTTGGCAATATATAGTGGTGGGATTCAGCCGGTTCGCACCAGTTCGGCAGAACCGATGCCTAAGCCACCCCTGCCGCCTCCCTCCGCCAACCCTCCGTTGCCGCTACCGTGCTTCCTTGCGCACACTTTCTTGTCGCCCTGCATCGGCCGTGTCTCCCTTCTCCGTTCTGGAAATGGCAGCCCCGTTTCCAGCAGAAGGGAGAAAAGGAAAGATGCGTTGCCTGGAAGGATGCTATTGGGTCCCTGTACGAGATGACCAGGCTGGACCGGAGGGAAGAGTCAAGTGCATCATCAGCTTTGAGTCCCTTCGTACCCACAAGTGATCAAAGTCCAGTCCACCCTGAATCCCAGTGACTCTTATGTTCTGCCAGTGGTGGGATTCAAATAATTTAACAACCGGTTCTCTCTGAAATCACAGAACCCTTTAAGACAGGTGTGTCAAACTCAATTTCATTGAGGGCCGCATCAGCATTGTGGTTGCCCTTGGGGGGACCGGGTGGGTGTGGCCAGGGTGGGTGTGGCCTACTGGGTGGGTATGGCCTATTGGATGGCCATGGCCAGCTCTACATCGTTCGCGTCAAGGGTGCCTGTGGGGGCCTGGGCAGGAGTGGGACAGAGCTGGGGGTCTCTGGCAGAAGGGCGGGGGGACCAAAGCAGAGCCCACCAAGCGAGGGCCATTTGCTGGCCACTTCCAGGCGATGGAGCATTTCTTCATTCCTGCTAACATCGGATGTTTCTGCATTGACAACAGATGGAGATGCAGCCATCTTTTACCTTTTGCTTTTAGAGTTAGATGATGCTGGGGGGGGGATGTGAACGAGAGTCCAGCTAGACATAACAACACTAAACCTAGCCTGAGAATCAAGGTTATTGTAACCAGGGCTGATAAAGAATTGGCGGGCTGGAGAACTGGGGAGGAAGCCGGGGCTTCAAGCTAATTGGGGAACATGATTTATGACTGTTAATTGGAGGAGGGAATTGTGCTTTGATACTATGTGCCCAGGGGAGGGGAATTCAGTTTTTGGCTTCGATTATGCAGTGCCGATATTATGCTACTCGAATAAAAGATTCTTTAAGGTAAACAATGCCTCGAAGTTCTTCCGAAGAGTTTCATCTGTCGGAACCATGACAGTGTCTAAAGAGTGGACACATAACTGGTGTGTGAGTGTGTGTGAATCATCATAACTGTGAATCCAGGTCATAACTATTCCCAGGGAGACCCATCATAACTTCATTCGGTCGCTAAGTGACCGTTTCCAAATCAAGGCTTTCCTGTATTTCAACTGTGCTTGGTTGAGCAGGCCATTGTGCTCGGCTACCCTCACTGCGTTCCAGCTAAAAAGGCAGAATTTACAAACCAACTAAAATCGTGGAAAATCACATTATACCACGATGCAGGAAATCGCCCAGTCACTGCTGCTGCCTTCCACCGGGCTCTTGCAAGTCTTATTTGCTTAAGTCTCTGGAAATCTCCCCAGGATGTTTGCTCCCATTTGGCTTACTCTGCGCTCTAAAATCTGCATTTGTTTCTCTTAGCATTGCCACTTCTGTAGCAAGTCTTTCTGGTGTTTATACAGTTTTGTAGAGTGCTGCATTAAAAGTTTTCTCAGAAAAACCACACGCCGGAGCCTAGCCTCTGAATAGAGCAGTGTTTCTCCATCTTAGCAACTTTTAAGACGGGTGCACTTCAACTCCCAGAATCCCCCAGCCAGCTCCCAGAATTCTGGGAGTTGAAATGCACCCGTCTTAAAGTTTGCCAAGGTTGAGAAATATCAGAATAGAGAGAGAAAAACAAGGGGGCACTTTTACCTTTATATTCCAGAATAGCTGATAAGACAGCATGGAACTTGGAACACCTGGGTTTTAAAAACAGCTTCCATGCATTAAACACATGCATTTAATTTCTTGACCACTATCTGTTTTTAATGGAAAGGGAGCCTTAGATTATCCTTGGCTATTAATGCCAACACAACTATAAAAACAAAAAAAAAACACGGTGAGATCTGTCTGAAACTGTGTCTTTGGGTAAAATGGTTTTGGTTGTACTGGACAAATCCTAGCAGAGAATATCTTAGTCCGATCTTTGGCCCTAAGGGGTATTAATTATGGTACAGAAGGAGAGGTAATCATGGTTACATTTTTCAACTGCAAGCAGTTTTGGGGACGACACTGATTATTTCTGCCCATGTTTGCTTTGAACCTGCATTTGGGACAGCGAGCACCTGAATGAATAATCTGTGCAGAGGGATAAAATGGAGAAAATGGGTCCCTACTGGGTTTCTTGGATCCTTTAGTAGCTTTCATCAACAGGAACTCCTAGTCAGCTTAAGATTGTTGTCAAATATCTTATTTCCTGGCTTTATTTCAAGATCCAAACTCTTAACAACATAGAAAGAGATTTTTCTGATTTATGGTAGAAGATTAGTAGCTCGTTCCTGCATTGGTAATCACCAACTCTCAAGCTTCCTCCTTCCGTTATATATTCAAGATGGACAGTATTTAATATTTATTTGTTATGTATATGGAGCGGTGTGGGTCTATGCATATGTTGCATAGAGTAGGTTTAGGTGTGTGTCATGTATGTGTTTCACTTTGAGAGCGGGCAACTACATTTCATTTTTGATATGTGCCATTGTGCCCACAGTAAAAAAATGACAATAAAGGTTATCTTA